AAAGTAAAAATAGCTTATATAAGCTTTATAACGAGCTATAATTATTATAATTACTAATAAAAGTATAGTATTTAATTATATAGAACTTTATTATTAAACTACCGAAGTTTAGGGAACTATTTATTAAAGTATAATATAATAATATCTTAGTTATAGTTAACTAACTTATTAAGTTCGTATATTTTATTCCTTATAAAGAATTAAGTATTATAAAAGACTTAGTATATATATTTACTAAAGTTATATTTTTGAACTACGGCTTATTAAAAGAAATTATTTTTAATAAAGATAAGCTGTTTATTTCGAAGTTTTAAAAATTTCTAATTTCGTAACTTAGTATAAATTATAAACTATTAATATTATTTTATTTATAAACTAATAAATAGATAGAAAGGATTAACTAGATTTTTAAAATATACTTTCGTTATTATATAAACTATAACTAAGATAATTAAGTAGTACTTTTATTAATAGCCTAGTTTATATATAATAATATAATTAGTAAAAGTATAAAAAAATCTCCGTTCTACTTTAATTATAAATTTTAATTAATAATATATAAAGAAGTATAATAAGGACTATAAGCTATAAAAGCTCTAATAAACGTAAATAAACTTAAAAAGATCTATAAGTAAGCTTTACTAAACCTCGAGTTTATATAATAATATATAAAAAAGAATATAAATAAATTAAAAATTAAAAAACTATTTTTAAAAAAGGGGGATAGTACCTATCTCTTTTATTATAATATTAAAATAAAATGACTAAGTAATAAGTTAAATTATAAAAAGCTTAGACTTTTCGAAATTATTAAAAAAGTCTTATTAATTAATTACGAATTAAGATTACTAAATATAATATAATACTATTCCGTTTTCTATATTTTATTACTCGAGCCTATACTAAAAGGTTTATATATAAAAAATTATATTATCGTTAAATTAAACTAACTAAAGTACGAAGTCGAACGAATTATTAACTATAGAATTAGGAATAAAATACGAGAATTCCTAATTAAATAAAAAAACTACGGATATAAAGAGAATATATAGGAACTATATAATAACTTTTAAAACGTTTAATAACTTCTTAACGATTATAAAAAAATAACTAAGCCTTAAAAAGCTCGCTCGTAATTAAAAACCTTAAATTTATAAATTTAATACTAAAAAAAGACTAATTAGTCTTATTTAGAGCACCCTAAATAGCTAAATCCTCTATAATACGCATTTTTTATATTTTTAAAAATTTCTCCTTAGCCTCTTACTTTTTAACTAATTATATTTTATAATAAATAAGATCCGAACTACGCTCTTTAAAAAATCGCTTCTACTTTTTTAAATAAAATAAATGACTAAGAATAGTTATAAGTTAAGTTTATAGGACCTCTAGAGCCTCTTTAGCCTCCTATTCTTTAACTTCTATCTTTTTTTACTCCCTAAAATAATAATTTATTATAATAAATTAATATCTTATAAAAAGAATAAAAAAAAAGAAACTTATAAGCGTTTATTATATTACTACTATTATAATTTAATAAACCCTAAGTAGCATACTTATTATAATACTTAGAATTCGATAAATCTATTTTATATACTTAGTTATATTAAAAATAAAGAGAATATAATATCGTATTGTAACTTTTATATTTAATAAGAATACTAAGGGCTTTATAATTATACTTAATCTTATTATTACGACTTTTATAAAGATCGGATTTTTAAATACGACTTAATATAGTATTAAAATATTACGGAAATAAACTTAACGGACTCTAACTTAGGCTATAACTACTTATTTATAGGTCTACGGGACTAGATCTTTAAAAAGAGAAGCTAATATTACGACTTAATATATATAACTAACCTAGAGGCTAGTTTACTAGCTACGGTAGTTAAGTATACTATATATATAAATAAAATAAGAATACGGCTACTCCTTATAAAACAAAAGAACTATAAATAAATTATATATTAATAAAATAAGGATTATTCTAGATTAGAATAATCTAATACGACTTAGGGGCCGAACGATTATTTTAAATTAAAATAATTAGGGATAACTTAAAGGATAAAGGATATATTTAAGAACGAGATTTATATATAATATAAGTTTAAGCCGGGCTTAAGAATAGATTTTTATAGCTTTTTTAGTAATTAACTTAGTATTAAATCTTACGATTACTTTTAGCTATTTTTATTAAAAAACCCTTTTTAATAAGATTATAATTAATTACCGAAGCCTTATTTACCTTATAACTTATAAACATAGCTTTAAAGAAGCTACTTATAATTATAATACTATTTACTTAGTATTCGTAGCCTTAATTTTTATTAATATACTTACTACGACTAGCTAGCTATAATAAATAAGTAAATAAGCGAGGTACTAATTACTTAAAATAAACTAAATATTTCTTATATTATTAATTTACTACTATAATTAAATATTAAAGTTTAGTAAGAAAATAAGGGATAAAAAGGCTTATTTAAGCTCGTTTTAATAAGTAGTATTATATATATAGTAAAATTACTTTACGGCCTAATAAGCTTCCGGGCTACTATAATTAAACTCTAATACTTAGAAGAGGTTAACCCCGAGCTACTAGCTACGGTAATAAAGTATATTAACCGCTTACTAATTCCTATAGTTAACTAACTAACTAATAATAGCGCTATTATTAACGAAGTCCTTAATAAAATCGTTATAATAATTAATAATAACCTTTTATTATAGAAAAGGAGGATTAAAAAAATATTAATACGGCGTAGCTATAATAATACTTTTATAATTATTACTTACTTTATATTTAAAAAAGAAGTAAATTTTAAACTAGCTACTAAACTCCGTAATAAAAGTATTATTATTATATTAAAAGTACTTTTTATAAAATCTATTAGTAAAGAGCTTTTAAAACTAATTAAGAGAGGTATAATTAAATTTATCTAACTTAACCCTAAATATAGGGATATAAGGATATTTAAATTTCGATTTATTAATAAAATTAAGAACCTAGGACTTAACCCTATTAAAAAGTCTTACTTAGTTATATAAAAGTATAATAACAAAGGGAAAAAGGAGATCCTTACGTAATTATTAATAATTTAAAAAACTAATTAATATTTAATCCTTACCCTAGCCCTAACCCTAATCTAAGAAGGGTACGTTATCTAGTTATAAAATATTACTTAAGTATATATATAATCGAGCTAACTTTTTTATTATAAGGTTTTTACTTAATTATTAGCTCGGATCTATTACTTATACCCTAAGGGTACTATTCTATACGTTATATAGTTATTATACGGTCTTATAAAATCTAGTACTTATTAATAAGTAATATATAATAAGTATTATTTAAAAATACTCTAGATAATAATATTTACGTTCGACTTATACTTATTAATCTTAATAAGAGAAAGCGGATTATTTAGTATTATTAAAATATAAACTAATAATATAATTAAATTATTAAATAAGATTTTTAATTAAAAAGAAGAAACTAAGCTTAAGTACGCTAAGTTACTAACTAAACTAAAATAATAATTATTAACTAACGAGCTACTTATTTTTAATAATAGAATTATTTTATTAAAAAGTATTAATATAATACTTAAATAGAAAAACTAAAAAAAAAAGTTTAAATAAGTTAATTCCTCGGTATTAAATACTAAATAATAGTTCGTTAAGTAGCAAGCGCAAGGTATTTATATTATATTAATTTATTAATTAAAAATAGTTTTTAATACGTCGTTTACTATTTAATACTAAGTAAATCCGTTATTTATTAACTATACTATACTAAACTATTATATTAAATAGTAAATAGATTACTTAAAGCAAGGGCTTATATTCGTACTATTAAATTTAATTATAACTAAACTCTTTATTTTTATAAATAGGTTATTTATAAACAATACTAATTATATTTTATAACTAGGTTATATTATTATTTTTATAAATAAAGAATAGATTAATAAGAGCTTTATAATTAATAATAATATTATTTACTATAGCTTTATAAAAAGTAAAAAGATTACTTAGAGCATATTAATATTAGAAATTTATAGAATAGTTATAAGTATTAACGTTATTTATACTATTTTAACTACCCTAGACCTTATTACTAAATAACTTAACGTTCTAAAGATCCCTATTATAGTTTATATAAATTTATATTTATTATATAAATACTTCGTTAAGCTAAGTATTATAAAGGAAAAGTACTTTATAATAGATATTATAATATTTTAATAATTATATAAACGTTACGAGCTCTATAAAATTTATTAAATTAATAATAATAATAATTTAGTTAATAGGTTTATAAAGAGTATACTAAATAAGTCCCTCAAGTAATTCGTTAGTAAAAGAATTATTATAATTAAAATAGAAGGGTAAGTAATACGTAATTAAATTAGTAGTATATTATAAGTAGTAAGTTATTTAATAAACGTATATACCTCTTGGGCTTCGGTTTAAAGAGAAATATATATATTTAGGGCGTAATTAAACTAATAAAAAGCTTTTTTTTAATTATATTAAATTCGACGATTTTTAAAGAGTTTAGGTATATAAATTATATATATTAAAGAATTAAAAAGTAATTAAAAAAAGGGGATAATAAAATTTTTATACGAATAATTATAGTAGAAGTTATATTAAAATTTTAATATATAGCTTTAAGTATTTCTAAATAGAGGATTAATAATAGATTCTATTATTAGTTCTTACTAGCGGGGGACCCTACCCCTATTCTATCTTTTTTATTATAAAAGTAAAAAATTATTAATATTAAATTATAAAATAAAAAAGGGGCCTTATTAAGTAATTAAGTAAGGGTAGTAAGTAAGTAGTCTAGGCCTATATAAATAAACCCTTTTATTTACTTATACTTATAGAGGGATCGCGGGCCCTGCTTATAATCTTCCCCTCCTATATATACGTAATAGACCTATACTAACCTATTAACCTAGTTACGACCAAAAGGTCTGACCTGCTTATGTATATACCAACACTGCGAATATGTCCATAACCTGCGGGTGTCGATCCTAAGCAATTTTTAGCGGACTCTGCAAGAAGTAATAGAGGTTATTGCAGTACTCACTGGTGTTTTTGTTCTGTTGAAGAACGTGTTCGAGCACTCATCGAGAATGATGAGTGCCACATCGAAGACAGATCGAATCTGGTTCTTGCGAGCGTGCTTGATACGGGTGCGTATCGACTTGTGTACCCCCGAGGGATCTGACTTGTTTGCGCCATATCTTTTTGGGAAACTGGTGATGATCGTCCGCTTGTCCAAGATCCACATCCACAGCTGGTCGACCATGACGATCCTGGACACCTTACGTATCTCGTCCCTGCAGTGATCGCAGCCGTCCTCGTCGGTCTTCGTCCAGTGACCATCCCATTTGTAACGGCCAAAGTTGCTTTCAGATGAGTCCGAAACATCACAGTTAGTGCTCTGCTCGGCGGTTGAGGGAGCATCGGAGCGCCAAAACGGTTTCTTGTCTTTACAAGACTGTGCAGGATCTTCACGGCGTTCTCGAAATCTATGGATGTTCCTCTCATCCATGGTTGTACCGCGATAAACAACTTGGTCTCTGTCTCTTGCTTTTGTTGTCTTCAGAGTCCAGTAGTAAGACTGGTCGAGGGTGCGCCGAGGATGTAGAGGTGGATCGTGGTGAAGGTACTTCTCAACCAGGCATTGATCTCTATACATGGACATTGCCTCATACAGTCTAGCGGAGTCCAAAAGAAATTGACCTAGCTTGTTCTCAATCTGCAACCTGCCATGGTCGGAGCACTTCAGCTTGGGAACAGACCATAGGTTGTGGCCATCACTGCCGTATTCATGTTCAACAAGCCCGCCCGTTGCTAATCCACTAGCAACGTCGACCATCTCGTGCTTGACGTTAGGTTTTCCGCGTGCATTCTTCTCCCAAGCTTTGAGGATGCTTCTCTTATGTATTGGAGAAACTTTATCGTGGTGCCTAATACGGCAAAGATCGGGCTCGAGCAAGTTTCGTACTTGCTTGTCGTTGGTAGTGGTTGGCTTGTAAGTACGTTCCCTTACTCTCTGTTCCCGGGCTTTATTGCGCTGCGTCTTATGTTCTTCTCGATTTCTGTCTGACTCCTTGTCAATTATTTTAGCCATCTTGTCACGCTTACGATCTTCCTCCCAGTGTAAGTAGGGCATCTATCAGAATGTGACGTCGATTAGTTCGGAACTTCAGAAAACAGATGCTACATTGAACATTTCTCGACTTCACAAGCACGCAACTCACAAATAGCACAAGGTTATCAGGGTTGTCTTCCACCTCCCAGATCCCTATTTCAAACCATCAGTATAAGTCTAAACCCTTTTTAACGAGATGAGACAATCTTAGATTGCGAAATTAAGTGGCTTACTCGACGAGATACGCTCGCAAATAGCACGCATATGTCTAGCATGTACCAATGTGCGCCTGCCACCATGCTGTTGACCTCTCCAATATTCAGGACGTAAGATCATACGGCTGTGCGTTTTCAACGGGTTTCGGTAAATTCCGTCGGACAGTGGACACTCCTCGTTGAAGTAACGTGCGATGGCTTCCTGCAACGGAATGAGCCCAGTGAGCTAAATGGGGAGCTTGGATCGCGAAATACCTCAAGCCACTATCAAATCACATTAGAATGAAGCTCTCGTTTGAACGCGATGATCTCTCTCACCTGCATGTTGTTATGCGGTATATGGAAGTACCGCACTCTTCCATCCTTGTTTGGTCGATCTCGAGATAGGATTACGTCCTGAGGCTCTGGCCTTTCCGGTGCTGGGTCGAGAAGGTTTTGCAACGTCAGTCTCTGATCAGGAAAATTCCCTTTGAAACGGTAATCGGTGAGGTTCTCGGTCAACGGCTCCAGATATCTCTCCTGTTCTGTGTAAGGCTCGAGATAGGAGGCGGATTGCAGTGTCCCAGAGCGCAAGCGACTGGGCCCGGTCGGACGTTCCTTTGGCTTGTGGTCTGTAGCTTCGAATTGAACTGTAGCTTCACTCGGCGCTCTAGCTGCCCGAGGTCGAGGAGCTCGCCGAGGAGAAGGGGGAAGAGATGGGAGCTGTGAGGGAAGGGTGAAATTGACCGACGTTGGGGAGATGTTGATTGGCGTGTGCGAGTCGAGCTTTTTGAGTGACTCTCCAGGTTTCAAAATCTTCCACTGGATGAGGTACCCGTTCATATCTCGTTCCAGCTCGTACGAGGGTGTGTCTTCATCTTCTTCAAAGGCATAATCGACATCGGTATGACCGTCCCGGATGATCTTGCGAGCCTCTTCCCTCTCAGGTGCCAATCTGAGCTGGCCATTGCTTAATAAACTCGGACTATTTGTGACATGCTCGTCCTCAACATCGCTACTCTGTGCCGATGATGTTTTGTATCGTTTCCAGTCTTGGATGATCTCGATACCCTTCTTGTAACTGTCCGAATTCTTCCATTCCTCGTGACTGTGAGATACAAGATGAACCAGGTCGCACTGAGGGTGTTGATTCGCCGGGTCCTCTACGTCCTTGTTTGGAGGTTCATCTTTGCATTGGGGACATCTCACCTCCGAGAGTGCTTTCCGAAGGATGTCCGTTCGCTTGTATTGCGCTTCAATGCTCACAGCGAGACTCTTGATTCTAGCTTCAACCTTTTCTTTCGCAGTCTTTAGCCGTTCGTCCTCACTGATGGTAGGCTTTCGTTGCTGCAGCCTCTCAGCCTCGATTTGAATCTCGTGATCCCAGAGATCCGAGTTTTTCTCTCGGCTCAGATAGTTGACTCGATCAGCGATCTCGATGCAACCAAAATAGTGAGCAGTGTGGTCTCGAATGGTTCCGTGGCTCCCTTCAGCTGGACCATGAGGCTCTGCTGATAGGCATGTTGGAGAGCTGCCATGATCTCCCATGGTAGCTCTTCAAGGTAGTGAAAGACAAGTTGTAGAACGGATCGAGACAAAAGACAAGGTTTTCTTGGGATGAAGGTGTTTTATGGTAGCCAAGCAGCCAATTTTTCGATGACCCCCCGCTTCCTGGCCAAGGCAAGCACTGTGGTTTAAGTCAACATACCCACTTCCTGGCACCCCCCTGTTTCTGGCACCCACAAAAACGCGAAAATCCACCACAACCCAATGCCCACCCCCAACCTCCTTTTATCACAACATTTTCAATTCGCGTCCAAATGGGCTCATCTTTTGCACATGTCTTCTTCTATATATAATGCCTCAATATACCGAAGATCAGCTTCGTCAGGCTCTCGAGGA